TCCCCCTCCGTTCCCGGGGTCCCCCTCGACCCTCTGCAGCTCTGGCAGGAGGAGAACCAGACCCAAGGTGGGCTCTGGAACGGGAGCCAGGAGCTGGCCTGGGAAGAGCTGGAGAAGATGCTCTTCCTCTTTGTGAAGGAGCCTGTCACTATCAGCCTCACGGCGATGTACCTGGTGTCCTTTGTGGTGGGCTTCGTGGGCAACATCATGTCCATCAGGGTACTCACCCGGAAGCGGCGGAGTCGGGCGTCCAGCCTGAGTGCCACCCGCAGCCTCCTCATCAACCTGGCGGTGTGCGACCTCATGGTGGTGTGTGTCTGCATGCCCATCACCGTGGGCAACCTCATCTACAAAGCCTGGGTGTACGGGGACTTCCTCTGTCGGGCAGTGCCCTTCATCCAGGCTGTTTCTGTCTCCGCTAGCGTCCTCAGCCTGACCGTCATCAGTGTGAACCGGTACTACAGCGTGCACAACCCACTCAACGCCCGGTCTTTCTTCACCCAGAAAAGGATCCTCAGCACCATCCTGGTGGTGTGGTTGTTGTCCTCAGGGATATGCATGCCCCTCATCTTCATGAACAAACGGGATGAGATTGGGGTGGTGGAGGGCTTGCCCTTGGTATTTTCCATCTGCAGGGAGATTTGGCCTCAGGAGAGGCTCAAGCAAGCCTACAACTTTCTGCTCTTCTGTGCCCTCTACTGCCTGCCGGTCCTGTTCAATATGGTCATCTGCTTCCTCACGGTGCGCCGGCTGTGGAGCCGCAGCAGCCAGCTGAAGGAGAGCTCTGCCCTGAACCGATCTCTGCCAGCATCCAGGCTGAAGATCCGGAAGAAGGTTGCGCAGATGGTGGTGGCCCTGGTCCTGCTGTTCGCAATCTCCTGGCTGCCCGTCTACCTGATGGACATCTGGATTGATTTCAACATCCCCAAATCTTTGAAGGACGTGACTCCTTCTCCTTGGATCCTGCAGCTCAGACCTTTTGCCCAGTGGCTTGGCCTCACCAATTCCAGCCTCAACCCTATATGCTATTGCTTTGTGGGGAACCTCTACAGGTCAGCCAAGGAAATGAAGAACAAATACCACCGAAGAATGGTCTCTCTCTTTAACTTCTCTCTGTCCGAAGTGACAACCCGCTCCTCAGTCCCAGAGCTGCTCTCTTACCAGGGTTCAATGGAGCCTGCAAAGAGAGGACCCTCTGCCACCCCCAGCACGGGCAGAGGGTGTCAGGGAGGTCATGGCCATAAGAACAAGTGGGGATACTTGAACTCCTGCCAGCATCCACCACTGAACACTGTCTCCAGTGAGAACACTTCCTTATAATTCTGCTCAGGAAGTGCACCTCATCTGCATTGAAAGACTCTTCAGTGGTCTTTCTGAACCACGTATTTTAATGATGGGAAAAGACTTTCTTCTAATCACTCCCATCACCAGTTCAAAAATACTGAGACAGGGAAAGAAGCAAATAAAGAGAGAAATAGATAATGTGTTTTAACATATACTAAATTTTTAAGGCAAATGATTTTTACTGGGGAGAACTAGATCTGTAGCCTGTTGCCCAGTCAACAGTCACATAATTAGATAAATCAACTTCCCAATGAGTGAGTTCTCCCCGCAGCTCCACCTCTGGATGCAGAGATGCCATTTGGATACAGCAACGATTTGACTGCTTGCTGCTGCTCACCTTCTGCTGATAAAGAGCAGCGATAAGAGGCACTCTCTGCTCCAAATCCATTGGTTGTAGTTGCAAGCGGTGAAGAAATGCTAGAAACAGCATCATAAAAAGTAATAGTAGTGGAGTATTTCACACACTTTACCACTTGAGATTTCATTGTCTGATCATATTGTTTCACTCCTCCATGAACATAAACTCTCCTGATGTAAAGAGACAGTGCCAGAAGTACTAAAGCAACCATCTCCACTCTACATTCGGGAATTCAGAAGGGGTAATGTGGCCTCAGAGGTGATTTAGGAAATGCAATAGGAAAATATTCTTTGGGCATCAGCTCTCTTTCATACAGCTGTGTTCCTGCAGGTGGAGTGGGAAGAACTGGGCATCTATTCACATGATTTGCACTTGAAAAACCAGCTCTTGTTCAGCTGTGTCTGTACCAAACAAAGTCAATGGCATGTGAAAATAAAAATAGAAGGTGGTTTATAGCTAATAAAATCAGAATCAACTAATGCAATGCTATTTGTCTGGGAAGGAGAAATCAAAGTGCTTGCTTTTCCTGAGGATCAGATGTAGGTTAAAACCTGTTTCTTCCATCATCTCCTTTAAAGCAGGCTTTGATAAACAAATTGTGTATTTTTATTACGTTAGCATCGAAAGGTCCCACTAAAGCTTGAGAATTCTATTGTGCTGAGCACTGGATCTGTATTCATCAAGAAAGGAAATCTTTCTCCCAAAGACCTAAGGGAAAACACATCAGACCAGGCAATAGGTGAGAGGAAAAAAAATACAACAAAGACCCAAAAGGCTGGAATGAAACTAGAGATCAGCCCCTTCCCTGTGCCTGCCCAGTGCTAAGTGTGGGGGGATGCACACTTCTCTCCTCTGAGTGAGCCCCAGAATGAACGCAGCTGCCTTCTTGGGAGAGGATTTTGCATTTAATGGAACTCAGACTTTTGATGACTGGAGGCTTTTTTTATTATTATTTTATTACTGAACAAGGGAATGATGTTCTGGGAAATCAAAGTTTCAAAAAATATCCTTCTGCCTTCTAGAGGCCCTTTTGCTTACAAAAAAAATTAGAGACGAAAAATAGCCATTCAACCCAACTGTATTCCCACCTTCGTAATGAATGTTCAGTAACACTTTATGTTAACAATAATCTGCTTGGAAAACAAAAGATTCCTCCTTAAGAGGCAGTGCCATCCACAGTCTGTATTCTCTTTTTGTGTGAGAAAGAAATTACAACTATCTAGATTTACTTTGGGTGAGAAATGACTTTTATGTGTGCTGGGGGAGGTGAACATCTGCATTTTTGCAGGTGATAATAGGAGTGTACCTACTGCCTGATCTTTTAGTAGCTGTGGAGAAAAGCGTGTGAAGATTTTATTTCTTCTTTCAAGGCATATTTTTAGGGCTGGCAAAAAGCACCACCAGGCTGAGGAGCATTAAAAGTTTGCCCGCAATGCCCACTGATGCCAGGCCCTATAAACAGATGTCCTCTGCCCAAAGCCCAGATGTGACACAAAATGGAAACTTCCCTGCGTTGCCCTGACCGCTGTATTTAATTCTGCCCTAAATAAACCACAGTGAAAGGACCATGGAGATGCCAGACCAGTTCCATCCCGTGTGGTGGCCACGCTCTGAAAATAGCCAGGCTCAAATGACATAATCAAAGGTGCAAGAAATCCACATTTTAAAATATCCCAGAGGAGAATTTTTTTCACTCAGTTGATGAGCTGATGCCTGGGTCCTGCCCTGAAAGTCTCTGTGCCCTCCACAGACGCAGCCCCACAGCACTCCTGAGCACCAAGACACACCGTGGCAAGGACCACTTCCACTGCTCAAGGTCATCTCCTCTTCACACTTTTAAAGGCGTTTTGCAGTTTCATTCAGTGTTTCTGTTTTCCTATAATAAAGTCAAATTGCTCACTTTAGCTCCTTTTTGTCTCCCTCGGTCACTCTCTCCCTATCCCCCATGCTCCGACCACTTCTCCACTGATTCTATGGCGAAATCTCCCCTTGCCTCTCGCCCTTACCACCTTTCATCTGCGAACTCCCCTCACTCTCAACTCATTCACAACTTTGCTCCTCTGACGAGAAATCCCTTCCAAAAAAAAAGCTCCTTTTGTGCTGCAGACACCTGTTTGCGATGGAGAACGCTGATTTATTGTGCGTGGCTTACCCGAGGGCTGCAAGGTAGTAATGAATTTCGGTCACTATCACCCAAGGGTAAATGAGAAGCGGTGACGTCAATGTCAAAGCCACGCAGCATTCCGTGAGCTGCCCGGGCTCCGGCAGTGATTTTATTAACCTGAACAGGTCTGTGTAAATGCAGCAGTGCCTGGGTGACTCACGCTGGCTCTGAGTGAGACAGAACCTCCTCATCTGAGAAAGTGGCTTCTTTCTCCTCCCAACCAGTAAAAGATCTCTTTCTATTTAGGGCTGAGAAGATATCTGAGGGTCCTCCAGGTCACACAAACTTTGTTTCAAATGGCAGGCACGTTATAGGCATTCCAGGGGCTCCTGGACCTTCTAGGAATCAGGAGCAGTCATGGTTCTGGCTGATGAACACAGGTGGTTTTCTCAAAGTCAAACGTCTCGCACTTGGTGTGTGGTTGAGTAAAAATGTTTCTCTCTAAATGCACCCAGGCAGACTGGAAATGTGACTTTTAGATGTCTCGAGGACAATGCTTTCCCGCAGCAATGCTGCTAATGCATCTCTGTCCCACTCTTACCCCCACGGGTCTTTCTTCTCTGCTTTGCCATTTGAATCAATACAGGCATTTTACCACATTACCAAAATAGGATGTTTAAAACAGCTTTTCTTGAATCCTTTTGCTGCAGTAAGGACTTACACAGAGTTGCTGTTTGGTAACTCTCTCTGGGAATATTCCATGATTAGTTCTTGTACTGTCAGTATTGTCTCAAAGATGCTACAGGCTTATTTTCTGCTTGTGAGCCACTGGAGAGGCAAAAAAAAAAGAGATAATCTTTTGTACAAAGTATCATAGAGGTACATATCAGCACAACTGGTACGTAGCCCTCGTATGGAGAATGATGAATCACTGTTTTCTTATAATAAAATACTCAGGGGAAGCCAGTGAATTGATTAGACAGCATGCGTCAGGGCAAGGCAGCACCTTTTCTCACAGCACAGCAGCCGCTGAGCTCCCAGGCAGAGGAGACAGTGAGGGCTGAAAGCAGTGAAAAAGGGTTCAGCGGGAGACTGGACTGTTCACAGCGGAAAGGGCCATCAAGGCCTATTAAAAATTGCTAGCTTAGAGGGCGTTTGGTATGTAACCTACAACTTCCACTCTTGCTCCTTCCCAAGACACGTGCTACCAGCCACCATTGGGAGCAGGGTGCTGGGCTCAGCATCGCTTGTTCTGTTGGTACCATTGTTCTCACATCCCTGTGCAAAAAACCTCTGCACCAGCCTGGGTCACGTTTTAAAGAGTAGGGGGAGAAGCCACACCAGGACAAGTGCCTGATCTGGAGAAGGAAGGTCACTATTTTACAAGGGTTCTTGCTCACTAGAAGTTGTGAGGCAGTCATATAATTCAATTCTTTCATTAATATTTTATTCAAATAATAATTTAAAAATACTTCAGCAATAAAGATGGGTGCTGCACTTGCAGGGAATGTTTTCCCAAGTGAGGAATCTGCACCAGAGTCTTCCTGTTTGGTGTCTCTTGCTGATTGCAAGAAACCCCCTAAAGAAAGCAGTGCTGGAACACATCAGCTCAGGACTGCCAGAGGAGGGGGCACTGATTACTTTGTAATTATCCTCAGGACACGGGGAAGGGGAAGCCTCATGGAGCTGCAACATGACCTTTGATTTTAAATATTTTCTACACCCAACACTTTCTCTCTTATTTCAGCTGGTTTATGTTGCAAACTGAGGGGGAATTATCCAAGGACACTTTATTTTTAAAAATACCTACAAAACATGTCTGCATCTGAAGGATCCAGGAATGAACAGCTTGTCCATGTATGCCTTGCCCCATCTCTGTGAGGTTTTTATGATAACAAATACAGTGGAGGACAAAATGCTATGTGGAATACATGCTAAAATCACCAAACTTTGATCATTGCTTAATCAGGCAGGCATCTTCCAGCCGCAGCACTTTGCCAGGTTCTCTAGGTCTAAATTGCAGAGGAAGCAGCAGTCAGCACTGCTGACAGACTAGTTCTCCCTGTCCTTTCTGCCTGGCAGCTTAACCTTCTCCTGTTCCTGCCTGAGGCAGTTGTTTGGTGCCCAGCCGAGCTGAGTCTCTCAGCTCTGCACCTCCAAACACTGAGGACCATGTCCTCAAGTAAAGCCACTGAGGAGAGAGCTTGCAGAAAGCAGCTACAAGGATCTGCCACCCTTGAGTTGTCCATGCTCCGGCATCTCTGGGTGGCTGCACGGGCATGCTGCTACCCCACATGCCGCACAGTCTTTGCCTTTCTTCATTTTCTACTTGAGGTAGAAAGCAGTCAAGCCCTGCTTTCCTCTCAGCCTTTCACCACAAGAATTGAGCTGCTGAATTGAGGAGCTGTATGAACGAGTCTTGAGGCAGATGTATCCCATTACCTGGTGCTCACAAGCCACAAGGTGCTATTTCTCAGTGTGAGGAAGGAAAATGTCGCAAAACATTCAGGAAATAAGCTAAAAAATAAAAAGGGGAATGAAAGAAAATCCAGACAGTGAAATAAAACCACCTTAAGCAATTACTGTGGAAGAAATAGAGCTGCCAAGGATACTAAAGCTCTCACGCACCTGTTAATATCTTTTGATAAAGGTCTGAGCGGCTAAACTTATAACACTATTAAATCTGCAGTAATCATTACCAGAGGCAGCCGAAGGATCTTGCAAAGCCATGTGCCTGGAGGAAGCCCATCTCCAGCATGAGCGTGCACAACCAACAGCAGGCGAGTGGTACCTGCACCTAAGGTGTCAGTGTGGCTGCTGAGTGGCTGTGACACTAACCTCCCTAACTGCCTCCCTCAGCTGAGACCTGAACCTGGATTTCCTAAGGCTCCATCCAGCACTTCTGCTTTTTCAGAGTGTTCTTCTGGGCTCTGGGTTAGGAGAAAACAAGAAGTTCGTACACGGCCCCACGGTACTGATCACTATTTGGAGGGGGGTGACTCATAAAGTCTCCACAAATGCTGGGATGTTCTCCTTCAAAGGCTAATGATGTAACACAGACTCTGGCAGAAATGCATCAGAAAAAGGATATGTAATGGCAAAAGCATCAAAAATCCTCCTTCTAAATCCTCATGGCCTGGGCAAAGCTGCAGTCTGCTCCTCTGCAAGCAAGAGGAGAAAGTGGCTGGGCTGGGAAGAGCAACCCCACGAGGTCCACGGGGTGACCCTTCACCTTGGGGAGGAGGTGCGGAGGTGCAGCCATGCAGCAACATGAAAGGATCATTGAGAGTTTTTGCAAAACTGTTCTTGCTACCATTGCTCCAGCACGGTTCCCGGCAAGGCGGTGGGGATGCTGGCTCCTCTGTGGCAGGAGAGCATGCACAGGCTATCTGCTGCCTCAAAACAGGCAAATCCTTCTTTTTCATCCCCTCTCTACTACTGTTCACTTCGGCAGAGTTTCTTCTGATTTATACCAGCAGGAGATTAGAGTGAAGCTCACAGTGAATGAAATACTGTCAAGGTGAGGCTACTGTCACATCAGCTGCTGTAATTCCATCGACTTAATGGATCTGCTCCTAATTTACAAGTCAGAACTCGATCCAGCACCAGAAGCTGAGTACAGAGGTGTCATTCTTATATAGTCAAATTTCTATCTGAAATAAATAACCACATTCGATCTTTCCAAGAGATCTGAGGTGCAACATATTCATTTTTTTTTCCCTGCAGAGAAGTGAAATTCTCACTAATGTTTTCCAGTTGCCTTCAGGTCTCCAGGTTGTATATTTTTCATCCATCTGCTTGTTCCACACGGACTCTCAGGGGCCAAAATGGGCAACTGGATCTTTCAGGGAGTTCTGCAGCAATTTGCTGTGAGGGGTATTAAGCCCATTCCTGCAACAGCCTTTTAGCAGGAACAACACAGCAGCCTGATGATGTGCACCCTCTTGCAGTGAAAATGAAGATAATGAAGAACAAGTAGGCTTCCATCTATACAAGATTTTCTTATGTACTTCAGAAATAAGAAATACTCACACACAAATATACTTCCCAGCCAATATTCATGTAGCATATGAAGTTCAAAACACCCTGGTCCCTCTAACAATCAGTGAATATCTGTGTGACTGCAGGCTGTGAATGGAAATTCATAGCTTAACCAATACCAAGCCACACAGGACCGACTGCGGAAGAATGAAATGGATCTACACAGACTAATGTCCTAGAAGAAAAACACATTTACAGCAGCCACATATCCGCATCCACAAGCACAGTGCAGGAAGACTGTGTAGGATGAGAAATTCTTTGCTCTCAAGTAAAGAAACAAACACTCTTCTTGATCTCACCTCACCAATTCCCTTTCTGAAGTCCAGGCAGGATAGCCTAGAAGCCCCAAAGCTGCCAAAGCTGTCATGGAAACAGTAAAGCTTTTCTGTGAGGCACGGTGCCAGAACTGGAAGCCAGAACTCCTGGCAACAGCAAGCAACTCTTTCTCTAGTCTTTCGCTCCACTAAGCAAAAAGTGAAACTTGGGAAAATGGGGGGCAGTGACGGTTGCAGGGGTCTGGGCAGTGGTAACGGAGCAGGTCCCCTTCCTCCATGCCCACCACCAAAGGAAGCCAAGAGAGACACCATCAGGACCTGGGGAAAGCTCCTTGTTCCAGGTTCAGTCAGCTGCAAAGGTGCAACACAACCAGACAGGAAGACCTTAAACTTCTTATCTGCAGACTTGAAGCTGTTAAACAAAGCACTAAACCAGACAAAAAACCAGAGGTGTTCTTTGCTGCCTGCTCTCGTAGCATGGAAGTATGACCAATAACCCATGGACTCTTCTCATGTTGGTAGCTGGAAGTGAATGGAGGAAATTTCTGATGAGGGTCCATACCCCATCCTGTGGGAGCAGGGGTGTGCTCTGCTAGTGAGAAGGACTCAAAAGGAGTGAGAAAGAGAAAAGTAGTGTTTCATTTTTTTCTGATAAGCCTGCGCGTGTTTGGTCAAGCAGCCTTTGCCCATGGGAAATGTTTTGAGAGATTATTGCTGGGTTTTTTCCCAAGTCCTTTCTCAACTGTGAGAAAAGTTGAGAATTTTTTTTCTTTTTATTTCTTGGCATGCTGTGCTGGAATAAGAGAAATCTGCAAATAAAGGGGTTAGATGATGGAGTGTGATGCTGAACAAAGACATATGGACACATACAGAGTTGAAAACAGCTTAGATTGTGAAGCAGCAAGAAAGAACATAAATAAAGTAACATCAGGCGAGCACACGTCTGTATCTCCTCTGCTAGGAGAAGCAGCTTCAAGAACTAGACAGGCAGCATGGGGACTAAGTGAATTTGCTTCATCCTATACACCTCTCCTCTTAGTTATCCAGCCAGGGGAAGGGGAGGAGAACCGGCTTTGGCAGTCAATGCTGTCCCTTCCGTGGCCCTCTCAATTGGAAAATGCCAGGTGACTCTCCCCACACCTCCCTTGTGCCACTGCATGAGCTGGGACTTGACTTCCCTCAGTCCTGCCATGCCCGAGAAGATGCCAGGAGCCTTGTCCCACAGGCTCCACAGCCCAAGGCTCCCGTCCAGGAAGGGACGGGTTGGAGCCACACAGACTTCATTGCAAGGACTGGGTCCTCAGAGGAAATGCCATCTGCATACATTTGAAAACACCCTTGTTTAGTTTGTCCTCTGCTCCTATTTTTATTGCTAGCCATTTAAATTTTACAAATGAGGTTTTTCTGTTGTCCCCAGAGAGTCAATGCATTAAACAAAACATTACAATATACTCATAATCACGGAAACTCTCTCATATATATTTATAATCTCTGAATTACTGGCATTAATGCAGAGGTGGCTTCTATGCACTTATCTTCTATATCCAAAATACACAGCACACAAAAGATAAACACATTGAAACTATCCAGCCATTAACACATCTGCCATCCAGAAACAAACGCAAGGAACAAATTTACAAGGGAAAGACAGTGAAGGAGACAAACACAATTATGGTGATGTGTCTCCACCGCTGTCTGATCATTAAGGATGACGATAAGAGAATTAAGTGTCATTCCGAAAATGCCAGCTACTTGGGGGCTGTTTCCAACATAAGAAGCACTAATACTTCCCATTTTTAGAGAGAGACAAGACACCAAGACCAGTCCTCAGCCACGCTCTGCAGAAGAGAGGGGGACGAGAGGATGAAGGTGCTCAGTGCTTCTCAGCACCAGCAGATAGAGCAGCCACTGCCAGCTCCAGCCCTTCCACCCTTCTCGAGCTCCTGAAGATGTGCTCAGCCCCATCTCAGCCCCAGTATAGTGCTGCTTTTACAGACCACGTTGTGCCCAGGCAAGGCACCGGTGCCAGGATGCCTCCCTGAGAGCCATGAGATGGTTCAGGTTGTCTCACAGCCACCAGCAGCTGTGGAGCCCATGGAGGCTGCCTCTAAGCAATTGACAAGGTGATGGAAAACAACCTCTGCTACACCTGAGTCTCACTCCCTTCTCATATTACCTTACCTTTCTGGTTTTTTCCCTGGGAAGTGATTGCTGCAGCTTCATCCCAGGGTGTGAAGCGTCAAGCCTAGTGTAACTAATCGAGGAGCCAGCATCTTCCCTGTGCTCCAGACACACAGACACAAACCCTCCAACACACACCCTCCAGCTGGGGCGTCTTGCAACCCATGAGTAGCCCCAACACTGTACTGCTTTCCTACTGAGAGCTTTGAATTTTAAGGCTGCTCTCCAGCACGCTGGCTCAATAATCTGACTTATTAAGAAGCCCTCAGCCTCCAGTTTCCATCTCATACCGATGCTTTGTGCAGCCCAAGCAGCTGTTTGTGGGTGGCCAGCTGTCTGCTTGATTTGTGAGTAGCCCCAAACCGCTCACAAATTCAATCAACCGCCCTTGCGGGAATAACTCCCACAGTCACAGAAAATTCGAGGGATGTTACAAGGAATGGCCACTCATGAAAAGCTCACCTTCAGCATCAATAACTAATGTTGCTAAAGCTTACTCCTTAGACATCAGTAAGATTGACTGCTGCTCCCTCTGAGATGCATCGGTGCCA